TCACAGGCATCGATGAGCATTCGATGCGCGCAAAAGAGAACAAAAGCTCACAGATTGGCTTCACTTCCCGGGCAAACGACAGTGACACCGCATTCCAGCTCGTGATATTACAGAAAAGAAACTCAACCGCGTTCGGCGCTGGCTGCAAGCATTGGCGACCCAGGGGCCTGCTAGGCCTCGCGCCGCCTTCAGACCCTTCTCATTCAGCGTGCTCAGGGCTCGGAAGACTGCACGCGTTCACCCGCATCTCCAGCACCTGCAGCTCCCAAGCCTCCACCTGGCACAGCCCCTGCTGCACCAAGTACAGGCGCACCACCTGGTTCTCCCACGACTGCAGGCCCATGTCCTCCTCCTGGAACGGCCCCCACTCGCGGCTGGAACTGTTGCAGCATGCGGTTGGATGAGGCCTTGAAGTCCGATCGTACCGCACGAGCACGCTTGGCCGACTTCTGGCTGGCTTGCTTGCACAACAGCTCTTCAAGTCGATCTCGCTCAGACTCCTGCAAGGGCTGCTCGATGGCACGCTTCTTGAGTTCACGCAGCTCGCCGAGACGATCGGCACCCACATCAGAAGCAACATCCGACATCTCACCAACATCACGCTCGAGGGCGACGCGCATCTGCTGCGCCGCCTGTCAGACATGGTACTGTTGATCATGAAGTTGGCACCACGCACGAAGTTCAGGCTCCTCCATGGCGGTAAAGTTGGGCGGTGGCTGTGGCAACGAACCTGAGCCACCAGCGCCGCCGCGAGCACCACCCCCTGCAGCATGTACAGGCACCTGTACTGGAGGCTGAGGCCCAGGCTCCACACGCTGAACACTCCCGCCACCTGGTGCCGCCGCGCCAGCAGCGGCCGCAGCCGCAACGCGACGCCTTGCTGCGGCCGCGGCTTCGGCCAAGCGACGTTCCTCTCGCCTGCACTCTTCACGGTAAGCATCGGCAGAGAACAGCTGCTTGGCCTCCTGCGCAGCTCTGGTCTCCTGCTGGCAAAGAGCCAGCCCCTCCACAGCTGAAGCGTGGGCCGCCTCTGCTTGCTGAAGGGCTTCACGATACTTGACAGCGGCTGCCAGGCGGGCCTCCACTTCGGTCTGGGCAATCCGCTCTGCCCGCGCCGCCTTCTCGACCTCCTTGGACAGCTCGGTTTGGCGCGCCGCCACCTTCTTCTCCAAATCGTTCGCACTGACAGGTTCTGGCGCCTCAGTTGCTTAAGCACCAACTGCAGCCGCCTCAGCACTGGCGGCCTGCAACGTTGCGGCCATGGCGGGGTGCAGGGCAGCCAGGGCGCTGAGCTGCTGGGCGAGGCCAGCCTCCTGCCCCGCCCCAGCCTGGGCGCTGCGGCCTGCCACACGGGCGGAGCCCTCCGCCTGGTAGCTGCCCCCGCACGTTGAGCAGCACCAATTCCCGTAGCGATCGTACTCCCAGTGGCCGCAGGCTGCACACACAGGGTAGGTACCTCCCCCGCGGCGCGGGCGGCCACCACCGCCGCCGCCACGATCGCCACCAGCACGCCGATCACGGCCAGCAGCAGCACGCCACGGGGTGCGCGACCGCCAAGCCATCGCTCGCGACGCCTGGCAGACAAGGGAAAGTTGCTCCAGCAGGAGCTCACAAACACGGACTGGAGGCGCCGACCAGGGCAGATTGATCGGGCCTGAAAGCATTCGAAAGCTAGCCGCGGACTAGCGGTATCCACGTGTTCCCCTGCGGAACAAGGCATCTTGAGCCAAAATGGCTACGGGAATGGGGATGAGGATGTTGTTGGTGATGGTGATGATGATGATGATGATGATGATGATGATGATGATGATGATGATGATGATGATGATGGTGACGATGATGATGCTGATGCTGATGCTGATGCTGATGATGATGATGATGATGCTGATGATGATGATGATGTTGATGATGATGATGGTGATGATGATGATGATGATGATGATGATGATGATGATGATGATGATGATGATGATGATGATGATGATGATGATGATGATGGTGATGGTGATCGTGATGGTGGTGGTGATGCTGATGATGCTGATGATGATGAGGAGGAGGAGGAGGAGGATGGTGATGCTCAGGCTGACGATTCATATCTAATCGCCTTCGGCCTATCTCGCCGCCGTGCCCGGGTTACGTGTCAGAGGCCCTTTGGTTGCCTGTTGGGGTCAAGTGGGAAGCCTCTGGGGATCCTCTTGGAGGCACGCGTGCGGCTTGCTGGAGCCTTATAGGGCCCTTTCGGAGGCTGTCCGGGGGCTCCCTTGGGGTCTTTAGGAGGCGACTTGGGGCCTCCCCGGGGGGCCTCTGCGAGGCTCGCTTGCGATGTTGGGGGCCCTCTTGGGCACTACGGGGCGCCTGTTGGGCAGTCTTGGGGCCCTTTTGGGGGGCCTCTTGGGCCGTCTTAAAGCGATCTTTGGGCCCTCTCCGGCCATCTTGGGTCCACCATGGGGGCCTCTGGGGCAGTCTTGAAGCGATCTTGAGAGCGTGTTGGGCCGTCGTGGACGGTGTAAGGGCCGAGAATGCGAACATGCTAAACATGTGCGCTCGTCCACGGGATTGGGACGACGTTTGCCTCGTGCAGCACCGTAAAAGTCCAGCGGGTAGATCGCGCTCCTACAGCGGACGAGCGCTGGTGGACGGATGTTGTGTATTGTATGTATAGACATATGCCACCTGCGTCACACATATTGGGCGATAGCATCATTCAAGATCCCTTCGTTCAAGTGTGGTCTTAGCCGCTTACCATGAGCCGCTTCCAGTTGTCCCTGAACGCTTGGTCCTGTGTGTTGACAACGATGGCATGGCGGGCGCCATGCCATCGTGGAATAGTTCCGGAACTTCAGCTGCTACGATGATTATGCGTCTACGTGGAGACGAAAACAATCATGCCGAGACTCAGCGCGGTAAAGGTTTTGGAACGAATGGGGTATGTCGTCAGACATGGACGACAGCCAAATCCGAAAAACATCATGGTCGTTATCACCGCTGCTCTCATAAACATACAATTACAAGTGCGACAGCAAGTACAAGAACAGATACGACAAGTACGGCACAGCACCGCAAGGAAAGCATAGGCGCTATACAAGAGCATGCGCGGGAGGCGATGGAAGCCGCTGTGCCGTAGTTGCCGCAGCTGCCCCGTAGGGCCTCTTGGTCCACTCTCGGGGCGGAGTGTCTCTTTCAGTGCAAGGGGAGGCATGTGTGCAGGGCTGCGTCGGGAAGCTCCGATGAAAGACGTGATGTGCGCGAGGATGTGCGGAAGCGGCTTGATATTCGAGCACCTTGCGCTGAGAGAGCAGCAGACGCAGTCGGTCGTCGTGGAGCTCCCTCTGCAGCAGCAGCACCACCACCACCACCACCATTACAACGCGCCGCGCAGGTGCAGAAACCCACCTGCGAGCATGACGCACACGAATACGACGGCAGTTGCAGCTACGAGTACGGCAACTACTACAGCGACGAATTCGGCTCCACGTACAACCTGCATTCACGTTTGGTTTGCCGGCTCCAGGCGCACTGAGGGCCACCAACAGAGCTCGGGGAGCAACAGCCACAGTTTCGAGAGCCAGCATCGCAGCTAGTAGAGCCACCGACAGAGCTTCGAGGGCCACGCGCTGAGCTACGAGGGCCACAGGCAGAACTCCGAGAATCCCCAGCCGAGCTACGAGGGCCACCAGCAGAAACAAGAATAGCCCCGACGGCCACGCGAAGAGCTACGAAGACCACGAGCACAGCTTCGACGGCCACAAGCAGAGCTACGAGGGTTGAGCCACTTAAGCCGCCAGCGGAACTACAAGGACCACCCGCTGCGCTACGAGTGCCACCAGCTGACATTCGAGGACCACCAGCAGAGCTTTGGGGCGGCACCGGCTGAACCACCAGCAGAACTACGCTGAGCTTCGTGGACCACCAGCTGAGCTACAAGGGCCGCAGGCTAAGCTGCGAGGGCCACAAGCTCATCAACGAGAGCCACATGCAAAGCCACGAGCACCACCGGCTGAGCCTCCAGGGCCACCAGCTGAGGCACGAGGGTCATTAGCTGAATTTCTTGGGCCACCAGCTGAGCTACGACGGCAATCAGCTGAGCCACGAGGGCTTCTTCGGCCACCTACTGAGCTGCCAGAGCCAACCGCTGGGCCACGAGAGCCACCGCGGGAGCCACGAGGACCACGTGCTGACCTCGCCGGGGCTGCCAGCGGAACTACGAGGACGCCCGCTGCGCTACTTCGGCCGCCAGCGGAGCTGCGAGGGCCACCAGCAGAGCTGCGAGGGCCGCTTGCAGAGCTCAGGGGGCCACCTCCTCAGCCACTGATACCACGGCAGAGCTACGGCCTCCTCCTCCTCCTCCTCCTCCTCCTCCTCCTCCTCCTCCTCCTCCTCCTCCATCCTCCTCCTCCTCCCCATCCTCCTCCTCCTCCTCCTCCTCCTCCTCCTCTCCTCCTCCTCCTCCTCCTCCTCCTCCTCCTCCTCCTCCTCCTCCTCCTCCTCCCCATCCTCCTCCTCCTCCCTCCTCCTCCTCCTCCTCCTCCTCCTCCTCCTCCTCCTCCTCCTCCTCCTCCTCCTCCTCCTCCGGAAACGGCCTGCGCGTTGGCGTGCGCGACGGCCCCGCGGGCGAGTGCGGCGCGCGCTCTTTGGCGCGGGCGCCGCGTCGTGGCTTGCGGGATAGGGGGCGGCGCTCCTGCCGCTGCGGAAGGGAAGGACAAAAAGGAGGAGGAGGAGGAGGAGGAGGAGGAGGAGGAGGAGGGATAAGCGGAGGAGGAGGAGGAGGAGGAGGAGGACGAGGACGAGGACGAGGATGAGGAGCAGGAGGAGGAGGAGGAGGAGGAGGTGGAGGAGGTGGAGGAGGAGGAGGAGGAGGAGGAGGTGGAGAAGGAGGAGGAGCAGGAGGAGAAGTTGTGTAGGGAGGTCACGCGCGTCTCGTCCCCGTGGTTTCTGGCCGCTCCAGCGTACCTGGCCGTCCCTGGCGGCGTCCGCGAGCCCCCCACTCGCGCGCAGGGCGGATGGCGGGCTCGCTGCGCCTCCACGCCTGCGTGCTGTGCGCGTGCGCCTTGGTGGGCCGCGGGTTGGAGGCGACCGGAGGGGCTCGGCTCGAAGCTCGAAGAGCGGGGGTCCCCAAGCGGTGCGGTGACCACACCGTGTGGTGAGTCTCGAAGAAGAAAATGAAGAAGAAAAAAAATGCACAAATATAAATGTTGACGGTCTGCACGGATTGCTTGGATCGGTGTTGGGCCCCCCTTGGCGGCGCCTCCGGCGCCGCCAGCTCAGATCCAATAATCCAACTGGACCTCTGAAAGTTTCATGTTTCTGTTTTTGGTTCCTCTGGAGTCGTCGTGGCTTCGGCCGATCTGTCGAGCGATCGGCGGTATCGGAACTCTGCGATCGTTCAGGGTTGAACGACCTTCCCAGTGTTGGAAAGCAACGCCGAAGAACATCGCGACGTAACCCGCCGTACACCACGTCGTTTGGCCGACCAAGGAGTCACGGAACCTCTGGCGAGGGAACGGGGGAGCTCGGTGTATAGACGCTCCAGCAGCAGCAGCACCCCGCGGCTCTGGAGGAGGCTGGGGTGTCTTTACTCTGGGCTCCCTGGCCGACCAGACGACTCGGTGCATCAGAGTGACCCCTCGCCAGAGCGACCTTCGGTACGCGACGTTCGGTGGCCGTGGGGAGGGACCTCTCCGAGCACGCGACCCACTGCCATCGCACCGCCTGCAGCGACCAGCATGCCGTGCACGGTGCACGGGTCACTCTTGCCGAGGTGGAGTCGCTCTTGCGTGCAGCCGGTGTGCACATCGAGCGCCCCCCCAGGCGAGCAAGCGCGCCCGAGCCGATCGCTTCGACAGCTTCGTCCGGAGGCACGGGCGCTCCTACGGGCCCGGGTCGGCGGAGTACCAGGCCCGACAGGCGCTGTTCGAGGCGCGCCTCGCGGGCGCCGAGCTGCACAACAGCCAGCCGGGGCGGCGGTGGACGCACGACGCGTGGAACGCCTTCGCCGACCGCACCGACGAGGAGCTCTCTGCGCTCCTCGGCTGGAGGGGCCCGGCGGCGCCGCCGGAGGCCGGCCTGTCGCTGCTGGCGCGCGGCCAGCGCCAGCGGCGGAAGGACTGCGAGCTGCCGGAGGAATGGAGCTGGGGAGGCCTGAACTCCAGTCGATGGTCCCCAGGACGTGTGATAGCTCAGTGTGCGCTTACCACGAAGTCAGTTCCTCCGATACCACGCAGCCTGCGTCGGCCCTATACGCCGTCTGCGTCGTATTGACGGGCTGTGGTGGACAAGCACGCGTTGGCGCTAACACGCGTCCTGAGGAGCATCGATCCAGCCACCGCGTCCGGGACCAGGGCACCTGCGGGTCGTGCTCCGCTCTTGCCGTCGCCCTGGCGCTGGAGGTGCACCACGAGATCTACCGCGGGCAGACGCGCACGTTCTCGCCGCAGGAGTTCATCTCTTGCGTCCAGAACCCGGAGGCGTGCGGCGGCGAGGGGGGGTGCAAGGGAGGTTTCATGGAGTTGCACATGTCGTACGCCGCCAGGCACGGGTGCCACCAGGAGCACGAGTACGCGCACCGCAGCTGGATTGCCGGAGACGCCGGGCAGTGCACGGCCCTCCCCAAGGTGGACAGCGGTTACGTGAACACTCACCCCGGCGTCTACCAGGCGCCGCCCGCGGCGCCTGGGTCCGCCTTCGGTGTCCGAGGAAGAGGAAACAGCATGAGCAAAAATGTTCGGAGGTCCGCGCAGATTTCTTGAATCGCCCCTGGAGGCGCCGCCAGGAGGGGTCACAGCGCCGATCGAAGACATCCGCGCGGAGTTCCGACATGTTATGTTCATGCAGCGCTGTCTGATTCGAGGCATGGAGGGCTACGAGAGGCTGCCGATCAACCGCGCCGAGCCGCTGATGCGGGCGCTGGTGGACCGCGGCCCCGTCGTGGTGGCCCTCGCGGCACGGCCGTGGTTCGCCTACGGCGGCGGCATCTTCGACGCCTGCAGCAAGGGCGCCGAGATAGACCACGCGGTTGTGCTCCTGGGGTTCGGCAAGTCCGCCGAGACCCCTTACTGGCTGATTGCGAACTCCTGGGGATCTGGCTGCCAGGGGAGGCACAAGATACCGATGCCGCCGCTCGTCCTGAAGAGCCCTCGTCGCTACGGCCGGACTCTCCTCGACATTCTGGTCAGATCGCACCCCGGGAGAGATCCAGGGAGTACACAGTAGACAGTGATATCGTTATCTTTTGGTTCCCCCCAGGCTGGGGCGAGGGGGGGCGGATACGCCTCCTACGCCGGAGCATCGAGGAGGAGGAGGCATGGTGCGGAATGGACCGCCACCCCGAGCTGGGGGCCGCGTGCTCCAGGAACAGGGATGGCAGCTGGAAGCCGAAGCCGCTGGCCCCCGTGGAGGTGTGCGGCACCTGCTCCCTGCTGTACAACCCGGTGGTGCCGCACTTCGCGGGCTCGAGCCGGGCCGCGACCGAGCTCGCTGCCGCGCGGCAGCGCTGTGGCGGGGACCTCCAGGCCTCAGCCACGCGCAGAGGGGGGTGGGGGGAGGGGGGGGGCTTCTGAGAAGCACCCCTGCTTCTTGGAAGGCGCGGGCCCTGATCTATAGATGGAAGGGCCGGCGCCTTCTGAGAAGCAGCCTCCTTCTAAGAAGCCCCCCCCCCCCCCCCCACCCCCCACCCCCTTGCGCGCGCCGCCAAAGGCCGTCCCCACGGAGACCATCGCCCTGGTGAGCTCCTGAGAGCCCCCTCCGTGGCGGCCCCCCTCCGTCGCTGGGCGCTGCCGCGCGCAGACCGGCCGCCCCTACAGGCCGGGCAGGGCAGCAGACGGGCGGGCCCCGGTGCGGCGCCCGAGGGCGCCGCGCCGCACCCCCTGGGGGGCCGCAGGGAGGTGCACGACTGGTCGCGGCACCGACAGGCACGCAGGAGGCGAGGGAGGAGGAGGAGGAGGAGGAGGAGGAGGAGGGAGGGGAGGAGGAGGAGGAGGAGGGAGGAGGAGGAAGGAGGATGAGGGGGAGGAGGGCAGGAGGAGGAGGAGGAGGAGGATGAGGAGAGGAGGATGGGAGGAGGAGGATGGAGGAGGAGGGGAGGGGAGAGGAGTGAGGAGGAGCCGGAGGAGGCAGAGGAGGAGAGAAGGAGGAGGATGCGAGGCTGATGGAGGAAGGGGCGGTGAGGAGGAGGAGGAGGAGGAGGAGGGAGGAGGAGGAGGAGGAGGAGGAATGAGGAGGGAGGAGGATGAGGATGAGAGGGAGGGGAGGAGGAGGAGGGGGATGGGGGGTAGGAGGATGAGGAGGTAGAGGAGGAGGCGGAGGAGGATGAGAAACGGAGGAGGAGGAGGAGGAGGAGGAGGAGGAGGAGGAGGGAGGAAGAGGAGGAGGAGGAGGGGCGGGAGGAAGGAGGAGGAAGAGATGGAGGAGAGGAGGAGGAGGTGAGGAGGAGGAAGAGGATGAGAGGAGGAGGAGGAGGAGGAGGATGAGGAAGAGGAGGAGAGGAGGAGGAGGAGGAGGGAGGAGGAATGGAGAGGAGGGAGGAGGAAGGGGCGAGGAGGAGGAGGATGAGGAGAGGAATGAGGATGAGGAGGAGCAGAGGAGCAGCGGAGGAGGAGGAAGGAGAGGTGGCGGAGGAGGATTGGAGGAGGCAGGGAGGAGGAGGAAGAGGAGGAGGAGGAGGAGGAGGAGGGAGGAGGAGAGGAAGGAAATGAGGGGAGGAGGAGGAGGAAGGAGGAGGAGAAAGTAGGGGAGGATGAGGAGGGCCAGGGAGGGAGGGTGAGGAGGTCCTTCTCCCCCCCTCTTCCCCCTCCTCGCTCCCCACCCTTCCTCCACCATCATCCTCCCTTCTCCTCACTCCTCCCTCCTCCCTTCGGGAGCTCCAACCCTTCCCCCACTCCCCCACTACGGGCATAGTTGCTGCCGCTGCTCTCCTGGGTGGTCCGCCATGTGCGCCTCTTGGCGGATCGGGCATGCGTGGGCAGATTACTACACAATCCCATCTAACGCTGGAGTATCATTGCACATGCAGCCGGACCGAGGTATAAGATCGAGGTCGGTTCGTGGAGGGTACCCTAGTGCTCTTCTTGTCTGTTGGATGTTCGGTGTGTTTTGGCCGACCGAGGGCATCATGTTCTTGAGGGATGTCCTTCTGGCCTGGGTCCGACTGTACACTCATGCACGTGATCTGCAACCGATGTGCCGCCGTGGCACGGTTACTGACTGCCTGGCGTTTTCGACCAGCTTCCGCGGCCAGAGTCAGGGAAACGTAAGACGCAAGTACGCCAGAACTCGGGTTTGCAGACGCTTCTTGCCCAGCGCGTCCTGGATTTTGACGCTCCCGGTGTCGTGGGATGTCTGCCGCGAGAGTTCGCGTCTCAAATTTCGGGCTGGGTTCTCGTCGTTGTCATGATGGCCCCGTCCGGCCAGCTCGAGGCCCCCGAGCCCGAGTCTTACGTCTCCCCGACAGGAGGAGGAGGAGGAGGAGGAGGAGGAGGAGGAGGAGGAGGAGGAGGAGGAAGAGGAGGAGGAGGAGGAGGAGGAGGAGGGGGAGGGGGGGGGGCCGAGGGGCCGCGGAGCCCGCCCAGCCCCGCCCCCGCAGTCTGGGACGGGCCCGCGGCCACTGGCGCCTCCGCCGAGGGTCGCGCCGCCCCGCCGCGCCGCGCCGCGCCGCGTCGCGCGGGCCCCTGCCGTCTTCCTCATCCTTCCCCTCGTCTCCTCCTCCTGCTCCTCTTCCTCCTCCTCCTCGTCCTCCTCCTCCTCCTCCTCCTCCTTCTCCCCATTGTTCCTCCTCCTCCTCCTCCTCATCTTCCTCCTCCTCCTCCCAGCTCCTCATCCTCACCTCCCTCCTCCTCGTCCTCCTCGGCCTCTTCGTTCCCTCCCTCGCTCCCTCGCCTCCTCGTCCTCCTCCTCCTCGTGTTCCCCATTGTCTCCCTCGCCGTTGTCCCTCCATTTTCTCATTTGCTTGCACCTCCGCTTCGCTTTCCCCGCGCCCTCCCTTTCAGGTACTCTTCTTGCTCACCACGTCATCTGACGCGTGGATGCCTCCGTCTCTCTCTCTCTCTCTCTCTCTCTCTCGCACGCACTCCATACCTTTTTCTTTCTCTATCTCTCTCTCTCTCTCTCTCTCTCCCTATCCCTCATTCTCTTTCGCCCACGCACACAAATCATACACAAGTCTAGTCTTATGCAAACGTATGCCCAGCATTCCCTCTCCCTCCCTAGTCCTCCCTCCCCCTCTATGTTGCTGTGCTCTCTCTCTCTCTCGTTGTGTTTGTGTTTATCGTTCTCTCTCTCTGTCTCTCGCTCTCAGTCTATCTCAATATCGCTATGTCTCTCTCTGTCTCTCTCTCTCTCTCTCGCTCAATTTCCCGTCTACCTCTATCCCTCATCACTCCTCCCTGGAGGGCGACGTGCCCGCTTTCCACACGCATGCCCTCGCATCCTCCGCTTGGTCCCCATCCATGTACGTACCTTTGTCCTACACATGTTATGTTGTTCCTGCCTCCACTTACGCATGCCAATGAGATCACTGGTTCGATCAGTTCAGAGCGGGTCACCAGCCAGAAAAGCTACCTCAGATCCCTTGGACCCCGTAGCCACCAAAGACCTCGAGTGGTCAGTCTGTGCTTCCTGCGAGACCCGTCCTGGAAAGTTATTAGGTGTAACACTTATGGATGGCAGTCTTTGGGCATGGGCATGCCTGGTGGGAGAAGCCCAGATGGCCAGCAGCACGTTCAGGTGATCAAGGAGAGCCCATGCCCCGACGGTGAGGACAGAGGTGAGTGTCGCGCCCCGCCGCCTCGGTTGGGCCGCTGCTCGCGCGAGCTCCCTGCTCCGCACTCTGCATTCCTACCGTCAGGGGAGGGGGGAAGGCGCTTAGTGGGCCCTGGAAACGACAGGGCCGTTTTTGTTACCGGTTCCGTTTTGCCGTTTTTTGCCGGTTCCGACGCCGTTGTTTTACCGGTTCCGTCGCCGTTCTTTTGCGGGTTCCCGCTCCGGTTCCACTCCTGGAGCCGTTTTTGCTGCCGTTTCCGGTCGCCGTTTTTTTTTTGCCGTTTCCATTCTCAAGGGACATTTTTTCGGAAGCAGTGAAAAAAACGGCCCTGCCGCTTCCGGGGCCCACTGAGGGAAGGCGCACACAGTGAGCATGCAGGTAGCACACACATGTAGTCCCATGCGGCGGTTCTCGTCTCCCTCTCCTTCCTCTCACCACGCCCCCATCCCCCTCCTCCGCGGCCTCCTCCTGGTGCCCGGCCGCGCCTCGCTCATGGCCCTCCTTTGCCTCCTCCTCCTCCTCCTCCTCCTCCACCTCCTCCTCCTCCACCTCCTCCTCCATTTCATCATCATTATCATCATCATCATCATCATCATCATCATCATCATCAGCAGCAGCATCATCAGCATCATCATCATCATCATCATCATCATCATCATCATCATCATCATCATCATCATCATCATCAGCAGCAGCATCATCAGCAGCAGCATCATCAGCATCATCAGCATCATATACAGCAGCAGCAGCATCAGCAGCAGCATCAGCATCGCCATCAGCAGCATCAACATCGTCAGCAGCAGCGGCATCATCATCAGTCTCAGCATCATCGTCGCTGTCATTATCCTCATCAGCATCGTCCTCACCCTCATCATCATCATCATCATCATCATCATCAGCATCATCATCATCATCATCATCATCATCATCATCATCATCATTATCATCATCATCATCATCATCATCATCATCATCACCATCATCATCAGCAGCAGCATCAACAGCATCATTGCCAGCATCAGCATCATCATTCGTTTCTTCAACGTCATCGTCATCAGCGCCCTCCTCATCATCCTGATCATCATCAGCAGCATCATCATACTTGTCATAGTCATCATCATCATCCTCATCACCATCATCATCATCATCATCATCAGCAGCAGCATCAACAGCATCATTGCCAGCATCAGCATCATCATTCGTTTCTTCAACGTCATCGTCATCAGCGCCCTCCTCATCATCCTGATCATCATCAGCAGCATCATCATACTTGTCATAGTCATCATCATCATCCTCATCACCATCATCATCATCATCATCATCAGCAGCAGCAGCATAATTGTCAGCATCAGCCATCATCAGCATCCGCAGCAGCATCAGCATCAGCATCAGCATCGGCATCAGTGTCATCATCATCAGCAGCAGCAGCATCATCACCATCACAATCGTCAGCATCAGCAGCAGCAGCATTGGCGTCAGCCTCCTCCATTCACATTATTCTCCCCACCCGAGTCCTCATCCTGATGTGCCCCCTCTTCCTCCGCCCCTTCCTCAGTATTATCTTCTTGTTCCTCCACTGTCTCCTCATCCTCGTCATCATCCTCGTCCACATCATCTGTGCTGATGCTGCCGTTCCTCCTCTTCCTCTTCTCCTCCTCTTCTTCCTCCTCCGCCTCCCCCTCCTCCTCCTCCTCCTCTTCCTCCTCCTCTTTCTCCTTCTCCTCTCGAGGCACTAACTCATGGTCCGCCACGGGTCGTCGTCGTCCTCCTCCTTCTATTCCTCCTCATCATCCTATTCCTCCTCCTCCTCCTCCTCCTCCTCCTCCTCCTCCTCCTATTCCTCCTTCTCTTCCTCGTGTTCATCCTTCTCATCATCTGCCCATTCCTGCTGGTGCTGCTCCTCCTCCCTCTCCCCCTGCCGCCTTTCCCTTTCCCTTCTTCTGTTCATATATCTCCCCTTTCTCGTCCTCCTCCGTCT